TTTTTTGTAATCGAAGGACTTTGTATCTGTAAAAAAATGTTGGCTTTTATACTTGCTCTTAACTAATAATAAAACTGACTCTCTGTAAAGTATCCTATTGCAGACTTAACATATGCAGTAAGAACCTTATCTTATTTTCTACTTAGATATTGCAATATAATGGTCCAAGCTGTATGTCTGGTTGGCATTAGCTTTTCTCGTCTCTTTCTGCCGTTCCTTGAGGTTGTCAATTTTCCGCCTTTTTGCTTCTGGTTCCATGTCATTATAGTTTTGTCAGTTTTCTCTTATCAAGAAGTTTACTGTTTTGTTCAAGGTCCATTACTTTGTACTTTTATTGAGGTTTTGAGAGAATTTTATCTGTCATGTGCGTCCATTGACTTGTAATTCTCAGCATTACTTGAAAGAGGTTCTTGTTTTTTGGATGGGTCCATTGACCTGTACTTTTCTGAATAATTTGAAAGAAGTTTTCCTTTTTCTCTGGGATCATTAAGCAGTATTTTTCTCTTTTGCTTTTCCTATTTGATACGATTTCTAAAGCACATTCGTATTTTCTTATTATTTGCTTCCTTTCAATATTTAACACTTGACATAAACATGTCAAAAAAGAAATCTTGTACTTTGTTTCAAAACAATCGAGTTTACTTTGAATAATACAACAAAAGAGATCAATGACGCAATCTACTTCTGAAAATACTTTGGGTACTTGTGTTGGTTTTCTATCATTATATACAAAAACATTGTAACTCAACTTCCTCTTTGCATGCCACTGGAAAATACAACAAATGCAATAGCCTCAAATCCAAATAAAAAAGCCAGTGCTGCTTTTCTTAATATCTAAAATGACACTCGTAAGCTGTTGTGTACCAAGACTCACGTTACAAGACAAATATCCCTGATATCTGGCACCATGAACAACTTTTACATGGCCAGTGCCTATGTCTTGTTCTTTTGCAAATCAGAAGTAAAAATATATTTTCCTAAGTAATATTTCAGATGAAATGCTCTTCCACTCTCAATGATACTATCAACTGTTTGAGACGTCCAATAGTTACTAGGCTTTGAAGTGCAAGAGCAAAGAGAATAAAAAATACACAGCACAATAATCCTTGCAAGAACAAAGAAAAATGTCATTTAAGTGTTCATTAGATCTTAAGTCATGATTTTGAACGTGTAATGTATTCATGATAACTCCATTTTTGTTCTGCATTTTAATAATGTTGACAACTATAATTTCATAAGTATTGAGTGTTTGCGTATAGATATTCCGAAAATATTTTACCAAGTTCAATAATGAATCTATTTCAATCAAGGTACATGCTCCACTTGGGTGTCCCATATATAATAAATCTCTGCTATGAGAATCAAGAACTTTATATCCCCCAGAAGGCAAACAGTATATTGCTACTGAGTAGATGTAAACCGTTAAAATAAATGCTTGATAATTATCAAGGACTAAGGAATTAGAAGCATCTGGCAGTGATGTAACAAAGGGAAAGTGTGCAATTACAGGAGGTGCAACACTATTTAAAAAAACCATTATAACTTTCATTGTAAGTCGACTGATAGGTTATGTCATATAAGTTAACCATAATAGGCAAATCTGTAAACACAGGAGTCTCTGTTTGGTTCATTGTGACAATGCTGAAAACATACTGTTTCCAATGTTTATAGTTTAAAGCAAGTCAGGTGAAGAGATTATTGAATTTCTGAAGTTAGAGACAAGTGCTGACAGAGACATTGCCACACATTGCGTGCCTGGATTTGCTATACCATCTACCTTAACATAAATTTTAAACACGAAGGCGCGCTATATAAGGAAGTCTTCCCTGGGAAGACCTAGGCTCATTTGTTACTCACCGTTGACGTGTGCGGGTCAAATTTAAATGCTGGTAGACGAACAAAAGGAGCTAATGAGATATTTATTGTTTACTTCCACCAGCATGGTGGCATGAGGTAACGTGCGAACTACCTACTTCGATCTCAAATTTACCGCCACAAATAAAGACAGTTTCCCTTGGAGAAAGGAAATACAAATCTCAAAAATTTTTGTATTGTGATGAAGACATAAAACAATTTTGAGGAATGCGCCCGCTGTTCACTGCTTTGGAGTAGCTATAGCTCAAGCTGACTTGAACCTAAGAGTTCTACATCACACGACGGTTGATTGACAAATGGTCTAGTGGGACACAAGGCTCCTTTTATAGCACGCCTTCGTGTTAAACAATGGTTTTAGTCGCATCAACAATTCCTGGACCTGGATTTTTGCGATGTCATTGGAGAGCATCATTTTGCAGTGATTAGCTCTCTGAGGCTCTTACATACAGCAGGTTTCTTGTTAATTTTGTGTTTTTTTATGATTTTTCTAAGGTTTTATTTGCAACGACTAAAACTAACACTAGGTTGTGAATCAGGTACGCAAACAATTTTACTAGCATCAATATTATAAACACCAGCGGGACCTTGGTCTGTCTGTACGTCATTTGCGAGTCGACTCAAATCAGGAATGGAATAGGGATACAAATAGATCTGTCTAAGTCACAAGCGACTCATCTGCGACATTTCATAGATGTGAAGCAACCTTTTCAATACTGGCAAATATACTGCCTCTAAATAAAACAAAACTACGATCGAGCACCAGAATCTCCCCTTAAAGCATCCTCGAAATTTCTTGACTACTAAATTAACATGTTGTATGCCAACGACTTGCCTGTATTGTTGTAAAGTATTCCCCATTTTCACTTCGTGGCGCCCATTTGACACTATATATGATGGTAGTTCTTAGAAATACTCAGTTTAAGGAAGTTTCAGTTTTGCTTATGGTATTCTCGGTTTTTTAAGGCTATATTACTCTTTTATATCGTTCCATGCATTTTCTCAAGAACTGGAAACATTTTTTGCACCCATTGAATATTTCAAATAATTCCCAACCCCCCATCCCCACCGAAGTCAATAATCTACACCGTGCTGAGATGACACCAAAAATTTGAAGAAAAAGAGGCCATTTTAGAACTCAAGCACCTAGTGCGCATGAGCAATAACCAGCCAGACAAATTTAAAGTTCTTCGATTTTCCGAGGTAACCACCATGTTTTTCCTTGTAAACACCTGTTGGTCGCCTGCAATGGAGCTCTCCGCCGACGATTTCCAGTGCGTTGGCTTTGCAAGTTGTGAGAACATCATCCTACAGTTTCCTTTGATTATATCTATCCTGACTTTTAGTAACTTCTTGTTTTTTCGTTTTCGTCACTGAGTGGTGGACAAAACAATAAGTCGCTTAGAGCGAAGCGTCAGCATTCGGCGGCAGCATTTTTCCAGATGGGTAAAGATATTTTTCTTTTCTTAATGCTGTTTTATGACATCATCAAGTATGAAAAGGCTTCAGAGTGCTCAATTGAGGCTTCAACATAAATTTCGTAAATTATTGTGCATCGCTAGGTGGAATTTGTGAAAATGTGCATATTATCTTGACCGGCTGTACAAGAATTTCGCCGAAACCACAACATGTTTTTATATTTCCATACTTTCCAACCCTATTTTAGTTAGTCTGAATTAAAATATCATGGGAAAGAAGCCGGAATTTTGTGCTGAGCTGAGATTAAAAGTTTCATATACAACTTTCCACCGCCTCAACTAATTTCATTCAAACACGACAAAAGTTCAGCCAGCTTTTTGGTCAGAAGCTCAATACAACCAATGATCAACGTAGAACTTTCAAATGTGCTCGCGCGCGATGCAAAACTTGTTCTTTCACTCTTAATTTCAGAAAAATATTGGGACTCACGCGATCAAATAAGATGACTGATCATTTCAAGTGCTCCTCGGCCAATGTAATGTTGCATAACTTGCACTTATAGCAAAAAGGTATACATTGGCGAAACAAGAAGAGAACTAGATAACTGATTCAGAGAAAACCTTCGTGAGGTAGAAAAGAACGACAAAGACAAATCCAAACGAGTCCCTAAACACTTCTATCTCCCAAGTCATTCGAAGCAGCTTATGGCAGTCTTTTGCCTTAATCTACATCAAGGCAGTTTGGAAAGCTCCAAAAATCTAGAACAGCAACTTATCTTTTAGATCGGCACTCTTAATCCTCACGGTGTTGATGAAAGCTTTTCATCAAACTAATTTGTTCTTGTTTTTCTCGTTACCAATTTCCATTTTCTGTACATAAACACACAAACAACCCACAATTCCTCTATTTGCTCTGACGAGGGGCTAATGTTAGCTGTAGAAACTCTTTATAGTCGCCAAATTACATTATATCAACTCAGTTGACAAAACACAATTTTCTTGTTATACCCCCGCCAATGCACCAGCACAACTTCTTAAAAACAAACCCCTTCTAACATTATCATGATGAACAGGAGCAAAGTAATTCCTCTTACACATTGTAAAAAAATACACATAGATCCTTGAGCATACCTTCTTTTTCATATTTTCCCGCACATTTAATGCCCTTGATTGATGCAAAAGTAATAGAGGAGTGCCTTCATTCATGTTACATTATACATACATAGGTTAGTTGACCACTCCCCATAGGGGCTTTTCAGGGCCAACACCCACCCATCCCCCCCCAGGGGAGGACATCCACCACACAGTAATCTCGTGCGTGGGAAATTAACGTCTCCTACCCCTAACCCTGCAGGAGACGGGGCCTACGGTTTATTGGTCCTTATCCGAGAAGACCAGAATATCTATCCATTTCTTGGTTATAGAAAGGTAGCAAATTCTCCTCACTTATTTTAAGACCATGAGTATTGGCCCTGCCGGGGACCGAACCCTCGACCTCCCACACAACACAATCCGCCGCTCTAACCAACTGAGCTAACCGGGAGGCGGTTCGCGTTCACCTCCATTAGGGCGCAACAGGCCTTAAATGTTGATTTGTTTGACCACATTTTCCATACCGTGTCACCACGTGGGTAGGTCCTCAAAAAATTAATTAATGAAAACAAATGCCCGGGAAAAAGGGGGTTAACTATTCCTTTTAACCTTTTCCAGAAATCGAGCGATGGCAACCGCAGGATCAGCTGTATCAACAAGCGAAGATAATTGGGAAGAGTTTGGAAAGACAGCCAAGATGGTTAAGGAGGAATTGAGCAACAATGTTGAGAGCTTAATGAAAGCAATGGAAGAGGTTCGAGAGATCTGTAATAAGTTCTATAAGGCGTTCTGCAATAAAATTCCTTCCAAACCAGAGGAAATCAAGCAGCTGCAGGATAATTTGGAGGAAAAGGTAGTTAAATTGAAAGAAGAACTTAACAAGGCAGAATCTGAAGAATTAACCATTGTATTTGTGGGACGTACAAGTAGTGGTAAGTCATCTGTGATAAACGCAATTCTTCGAGACTGCCGTCTTCCCACTGGACCACTCCAAACAACAATGTGCAGAATTCAGGTTCGCCCTACGACTGATGAAAAGTGGAGTGTTATCAAAATAGGTTGTGAAACGCCATTATCCGACCAAATGAGCAAAAAAAAAGTAAAGGCCCTTTTAAGTAAACTGACTGGCAACTCAAGAGCCGAATGGAAGAAATTCGACATTAACTCTCACAGTGTCATACAAGTGAATTGGCCTCGCAACCTCTGCAGTCTTCCTGAAAATATCGTCTTGATAGATACACCCGGTTCAAACGAGAACAAAGATTGTGACCAAGTTACGCTTGACTCTTGCAAGGAAGCAGATATCATCGTCGCTGTGATGGATTTCAGGTCACCTTCCGTACAAGATGTAAGTGAATAGTAGACCGTTCTCTGGGCCAAGTTCCTAGCAAAAATTAAATGTATAAGCTTAAGTTCTCAAAGCCTGATTTTCATAAGCAACAAAAGCATGATCACATGCAAAAGAAAAAGGAAATATTTGATTAAAGAGAAGAAAATAAGTAAATTAATTGAGAGAACAGGTGCTGAGATTGCCTACGTTTTTAGCGATTAGATACAACGATAGGTATCATCTTAATTTAATTTTTAATTTAATTTAGTCCATTTTCACTGCATTAAGTTTTGCAGTGGGGAAGGACTAGAAAGGAACATAGGAACCATTCGTGCTAGTCCACCCTCCCACCCATCCCACCCCAGGGGAGGACATCCATCACACAGTAATCTCGTGTGTGGGAAATTAACGTCTCCTACCCCAACCCTGCAGGAGACGGGACCTCCATTTATTCGTCCCTATCCGAGAAGACTAGAATATCTAACCATTTCTTGATGTTATAGAAAGGCAGCAAATTCTTCTCAATTATTTTAAGACCCTGAGTGTTGGTCCGACCGGGGCTCGAACCCTCGACCTCCCGCACAACAGTCCAGCGCTCTATCCATTGAGCTAACCGGGAGGTTGTGAATTGATCTCCAAGCTCTGAAATAAAGTCTTGTCATTCAAGACTTGTCTGGTACTTCAAATTTGAGCACATTCACAGCTGTCTTTTCAAAACAGTTATAGTCAAATTAGCAAACAAGTAAATGGTTAAAACATGCTAAATAAAAACAAAGGCTAAAGAGAAAAAACCCTTAAAAATAAACAAGGAAAAACATAGAAAATAACTAAAAAAATTGTTCCTTACTTCGGTTCATTGTATTTCGCATTAGATCGCATATGTGTTTAACAAGGTTAACTGCCAACACACTTTTGGCGTCTTTACAAAATGGGATGAGTTGTTACAGAAAGAAGAAGAAGAGGAAGAAGAAGAAGAAGGGAATCAGGAAGATAAAGGAAACGGACACGGGGAAAACAGAGCAACAATCAACTTAGAGCGGCAACAGGCGCGAGAACAAGACGAAATGGATTTTCGGAATTTGGTTAAAGGCAAAAGCGAGGTTTATTTCGTTGATGCAAAGCATGTTTCAAAAGCGAAGGTAAGGTTTGTGTGAAATATAATCTCACAACCTGATTGCTTATCGAAACATCCAGAAACCTAAAAACGAGAAAAATCGAAGTAATGGAGAGTTTGGTGGCGCGTACGGTCATGTGCGCAAAGTTTCAAATAACAGAATGAAATTTGAAATTATAAACAAACGCTAAGGAAATAGTGTAAAATCAAACTAAAAGACTAAGCGTATTCTTGTTTTCTACATGTTTCACCAGAAGCATTCAATATCTTAGTGCTCGATTTATTGACTCGTCAACGAAAATATCTCAAGATTCAGTGCAATGATTAGGGACGAGGAAGTGCATGTCTGAGGCAACGCACGAGTTCTGCAAGCTCCATCAATACTGACAGGGAGGGTTTCTCTACTAAACCTTAATGCATCAAGTCATATCGGTTGATAGTTTCTGGGTCAGTCATTTCCAGAAGTTGAAGTGCAAAAAAAAAAAACCACACCTGCGACATCCAAGACTTTAAAAGTCAGTGTCAAAAAGCAATGCAGACACGATCCAAGGACCTGTGCAGTTGACAACAATACTTTACTCTCGACTAGAAAAAAATTTATATTGATAGACATGATCGGTTAAGCATGTTACAACTGTTGGCTGAAATATCTATAACGCGGATAATGAAGTACCATAGTTTGTCTTATGCGGTAATGCTGCGATATCATCGCATCGTAAGAGAAGTCGCCTTATCAGTGTGCAAACTGATCTATGTGAAAATGAAAGAATAGGACTGATCACTAATTAATTTTTCTTATTTCTGTCTAGTGTTGTCGGCGTGTATGAAACTGTGCAAAGTTAGATTTGGGGGGTTCAGATTTCTTTCTCATTCTCTGAACTTGTCCGATATGGGTCTCAGTCCACTCTCGCTTGTGTAAACTTTCCAGCATCCCGAGGGAATCCTGTAAACCATGGCAACAGTTAACCTAATCGCTTGAAGAATTATAATTTTAATCAGGTTAAACTTCGTATTCCACATCGAAAATAATCCCATTGCAAGACAAACGATATTACTTTATTGATGATGTATTCAGCTCGATAACTATGCCGTACTTTTTTTCACGATAATTGCAACGATTTCGTATTTTTATCATTACAGGAGACGCAAGAAAGCATCGAGGGAAGAGAAAATTTTCTACGGTTTGAGAGAGATCTGGCAGAGAGTGCAAAATGTGTTAAAGCGCGAAAAGGCGTTGTTCTGATAGAGCAAGCTGAAGCTCTCACTTCAAATTATGGGGAGGACTTTACAACATTTAAAAGTATTATTGAAGGTAGGAAAAAAAGTGCTGAAGATCGTCTACATGACTTAAATAGGAAACTGAGCACCATGGAAAAAGAAAAGGACTCTCTTGATACGGTGAACAAGGAAGTGAAGAAGCTCGATGATCTGATACGAAATAATCTCGCTGATGGAGTGATAGATCGGTTGATGGAGGAACTTGAAAACCAGATCAAGGCTTGCAACTCTGAAAAAAGTGAGGATGAAGCTATTCACACATTTTTTAGGGAAAAGATTGGTGGAATCAACACATCTTTACGGCAACAAACTGAAAAGGTAGATGAAGAGCATCAGAAGTGGAAAGCCGAACTCCGAACTAAATACGGAGCATCTGTGATTGAAACATTGCCATCCTGTGAATCAACAGAGCCGAAAAAACCTGAAGATAGCGGCTGTGACGATAAGAGTGACCCTCATGCCTTCATCACAAGTGACAACATCTGGAAAAACTTGTTGTCCTCTGCCTCTCTGATTGCAGGAGTATTGCCACTGCTAGGAAGACCTAAACATGAAGGTAAGTATCATAAGAATGGTATCTTCTTTAAGGCTATGAAAATTAATTGTCTCCATCTCTACACAATTTCACAATAGAAAGTTTTCCTCATTGAGAGAAGAGGAAGAGAGAGCTATTTTCTATTCAAAAAGGAAAAAGAACAACAACGCTACCACTACTACTACCACTATCAATATCACTGCCACCCACAAAGCCACTACCAGTGCTACTGCTGTGCTAGTGCTACTACTATGTCTACAGTTACAACTTTTTTACAACCCATACTGCTAACACTAAAGATAATGATTTATTTATTTATTTAAAGGAGAAGATAAAAAAGAAATCAATAATAGTAATGTGAAGAATATAATAGTAATGTGAATAATATAATAGAAGAAAATTTGACTAAGCTGAATGAAAGATGTTTATAACCGGAAAATCTTAAAACAAGATGCATGCTTTCTTTATTACAGGGATTGTTGTTGCTGCTACTGCTGCTGTTGCTCATACTATTGTTGAACATAAAAGGTTCTTTATGGGGCCCAGTCAAGAGAGGGTGAAAAAAGTGAAAGAATTTGTAAAGGCTGTTTTGATGAAGATGAGGGAACAATTTTCAAAATACAAAGAACTTATCGAAAAAAAAATTAATACTACCTCTGAAAAAATTTCATCAGAGATAGAAGCCAAGAAAGAGCGTTCGTCTACAGAAATTTCTACTCTGGCTGAGGAATTAAATCAACTACAAGAGTGGTCAAAGAAAATTACCAAGAGTACAAACAGCCTGCGGGAGGTCTGCAAAGAACTTGACAAGCTAAAGAGTGTGTAAGTATTGCTCCTAAGATTGTTACGCTGTGTTAAACTTCAAAAGTCAATGTATATTTGCAAGTTAAATAGTTAAGGATGAGTCCTACCGATCACACATGTACAGCTGTCTCGTTGTTCTGTCATAGTCAATCGATTTCTTGGTAAAATATAGTTAGAACAAGCCGTTGAATCGGCTAATACCAGTTGGAATGGGAAGGACAATTCGAGCTTATTAGGAAGACCATTGACTTGCAATTACCTCCGTTCGGTTGCTAACCAAGTTGCACTGTAGTTGGACGATTTACCATTACGAGAATTTTCCTACTTTTGCGTCATTTAGTTGAAGCCATTTTAACTCAGCGTTCAACTAAAAGTTCTTCAGTCCCACGGGTTTTATAAACAACTTTGCGAAAAGCCTAATCGTTCTGCCTCATGGGCGAACAAAGTTTTTCTGTGAAAGGTAGGAACGTGCATGCGCTTTTTTTCAAAAGATGTCTTAATCACAGGGCACTCTCTCCATTTGACGTTTTGAAACAATTAAATTTACAATCTAATCTTTCATCCACAAGAGTACGGTTTAAGAGAAACATAACTTTCCATTATGTTCTACAGGTTGGAAGGTCCAGACACAGTTTCTCCGGATGACCAGACAGAAAACCAGTCACCTGTCCAACCAGTTGACTAGGAGTTGCTCCTACTAACCCAGGGACAAAGCGGAATGTGCTGACAACAAAATGGCGAGATTAAGTCGAATTCAAGATTTTCAGATGATATCAAAGTTTATTATATTTATATAGAGTGGAATTACCCAATCAAGAAAAAAAAAGGAAGAAGAAAGTCCATTCTGCGTGGTCTTACAAAGCCAGTTAAATCTTATTATATATTGAAACTTTATTATATATTGGATCTTTACCGTCAGTGAGCTGGTCACCCTTTGCCAGCAGCTCTTTTCGTTTGATATTTACTGTATGGCACTGAAATTGCAAGATAGAACGCCAGATACTCTGCAGTCTCTCTAATGCAAGCTCACCAAAATTGTGTTTTGTAAATAACCAATCCATGTATATAGAAGAGAGATGGTAAGTTTTGAGCTTGGTAAAGAAATAGGAAAAGGCATTTTTGCATCTTGTCACGAGTATGAGACGAAGAAACAAATCCCGAGTCCTCATGAGGAATCGAACCTCAAACCGTCAGACTCCGCGCTCTTTATTTGAAAACCAATCCATATTTTTAATTTCAATTCATTTCTTTGACTGGTCATTTCTCTTGGCATTCATCGCTAGTTTAAGGGCAATATGCAATGTAGAATGACAGATATTCTGTGGTAACACTTACGCTAGGTTAGGATGATGAGGTTTCGTAAATTCGGTTAACAGCCAAAATGATACCAATACTAGATTTCACTGTAATTCTATTCAATTAAGCTTTTTCTTTCCCTTTGCTTTGGGTGGGCACTTCTGGATTTTGTGCCACATCTACTGCTTCATTATTGGACTGATGAAGTGGTGACTGGAATATTACTCCACCTTTGTATCTTGCCACGGCTACATCCAGCGCCTGACCTGACTGGCCACTTTGATTGGATGGATTCAAACTCCGACAGTAATTGCCAGGATTCATCTTAAGTTATTTGAGGTTGTAAAATCCACGAGTTTTGCAACGAAAGTCAATTAGTGCAATCTTTTGGTAAACTATACTCAATTCAATTACCACACTAGTGGGGGCGTTTACGACGAATGATCGACAAGTTCATCACAATTTTGTTTAATTAGTCAATTTTGCCAAGGTTTACTCAAGACAAATTTTGTCCCCCGTGCGTTTGAAAATTTGTCTGCTTTGGCCAAGATTTGTCAAGCCGCAACGAACCTTCTGCACTTGTAGAGTGTTGGTGATGACAGAAACTTTGTCTAAATAAACAATTTCGTTGCTAGTGTGGATAGGCCCTAATTTCACTTATTTTCTATGCCCATAATTCCGTAGCCAACTAGCGATTTTTAACCTAATTGTAATTCCATCATAGAGTTGACAGTTACCATCATCAATTTTGACTTCATGAATCGATTTCGTTTTAAATCGCATAAAGCCCTGGTGCGACCTTGATTTTTTAAGAATTTATTTTTACTATCCATCGAAAAGAGGGCTCCTAACACTTACCCTCTTCCATTTCTGTCATTAGGTCGACGTATTTTGAAGAGGAGGGAAGACTAATAGCCTTGCTCGTCAAGTTTTGGATGATGAATAAGATGCGTGAGCTATTTTCAGTCTTAACAAATTAACATTAAAGATGAAAAAGATTTTTGAAGTTGGGTTTACAGAAAATTACTTCCCTAATGATACGTGATTTTTTTACATCATCATCAAAAGCAAAAAAAAAAAAACAACATTTATTGTTCATAGGCTAAGGCCAAGTTAAATTCTCAGAAAAGTATACATAAATCGCCCGATAAAAAATTTGGTGCATGGCGGGACAGAGTTTTATACATAAGGTACAACAATTGGTAGGATTCTTACATGTATAAATGATAGGTGCACGTATTTCGTTTGTTTTGTCTTCTTTTTGTTTTGTTTGTTTGTTTGTTTGCTTGTTTTCATAATTTTGCCGTTTCTTACCTTGATCTGATTATATTACTTTACAATATTGAATAACAAAATTAAGTGATCTGTTGAACTAAAACTCGAAATTAAAGAAAATTCGATTGGACTAGGCATTTAGCTCTTGAACTTATTTCAAGTATACTTAGAACATTGTCTCGCGCCTTTTTTTTTAAGTAAGCATGTTTTGAACGAGTTGGCTATTGACATCAGCAAGTAGTTGAATAATTCCTTTGCATATTGATAATTATTTTAGAGTGAAAATGTACGAGCTTAAGGGAAGTGTTTTGAATTCGGATTCACTTTTACGTATGTATGCGAGGATAACTTATTTATGATAGAAGCAGTAATTCAGGCAATGGTTTTGTCGTTTAGTGCGAATGGAAATGATCAACTTTGTGTATTGTAAAGCTAATATCGATTTGTTTTAAAGGTACTATCGACCCCTTTTCCGTAGGTACTGTTAATTAAGAAGCTGCGTCATGACTTGCAGTCCTGAAAATTTTGACCTAATACTAGTCTTTGACTGTTTCTTCCTGGAATTTGTAGAATCCTTGATTTAGCCACATGATCAGGTTTCTTTATACTACTCGTAGTGAAGCCATGCCGAACCAATGGTTTTGTAGCTAATGAATTAATATTTTTATCATTGCTTATGAAGTGTTACTCCGGTAGTGCCAATCGAATACCAAGTAGTGTCCAGTGAAGTAGGCATTACCATTTGTAGGCTCCTTCTCCGGAAACGAAATGTTTCCCTTTATTGTAAATTTTTCTGACGTAATCACCTTAAAATGTAGTGCTGTAAACGTTCTACTGTTAAACTTGACTATTTTAGGGTAATATTGTACCTTTCAGTTTTCTATGGTGACCCACAAGTGTCACGGCGACACAACGCCAACTCAGGGCAAGGCAACGCCAATTTTTCACGGCGGAAGTGAGAAGCCATGGCGAAAATGAAATGCCATGACGGAAGTAAATTTAGAGCACAATATTGTTTACTATCCCAGAACGTTGGTGGTTCTTAAGCAAAATCGAAATGATTCGTACTTGTAGCTAATGGTTCCCTATTCAACATGTTTAGTCCAAGTTGTGACCAAGAACTTCTCTATGAAGATGCTACTCGTACTCGAAGCTCTCGAAGAAGTAATAGCGGATGAGGCCTTCTTCGTTGTCTTCTGACGAATCGAAGTACTCACCTTACAGGTCAATTTCCACAAATTTCGCCATAGTTCACCAAAACGTATTATAGCCTGTAATGGAATAGTTGCCAGGTTACATCCGCCGTGGCATTTCACTTCTTCCGTGAAAAACTAGCGTTGTATTGCCATGAGTTTTGTTTTTCCCGTGACACTTATGGCCCTCTGCAGTTTTCATATTACTCATGTTGGTTTACTAGGGCCACACAAGAATGAGGGTGAAAATTTAACAAATAAATTTTTCTCAATTCTTACTTGGCCGAAGGACACATCATTTAATCATCTGGATGTACAATCCTAGTTCAGTTACCAATCTCTGTGCAGGGGCATGACACGCGAGCGTTAATTAGGTGGTAGTTTGACGAACGACTGTCAATCTTATGTCAGTTTTATCGTGGTCACCTAAAAGAACTTTTAATAACAACAGCCTTGTTAGCAGTTCAGTTACCAAATGGAACAAAACAAGTTGTAACAATCGCACAAAGTCAATAAACCAGAGTGAAACTGAAAATGTATTTACTCAGGCTGAACATTCGTCCTAGGTGTTTCTTTACAGACCAACTTTAGCTAGTTAAACATGAAATCTGTTTTTACTGGGTAGTTTTAAGCCACTAATAACACGGAAGATTCAAATTACAAATCCGCGCAAATTTCAAAAATGACGGGAGAGGAAGCACTGTTAATGAGTTCACTGGTACTGATTCTCGCTATATTTTTGCGAAAGAGAAGCAGTTTCGTTCAGAGGATGCAATTGATGTCTCGGCAGATGCGGAGGATGCGACAGAATGTTGTAATCCTGGCAATTCAACGCCATAACAACATTTTATATTTCCTATCACTTTGTTAAGCGCCTAGATCTATCATTAGATAGGCGCTATATAAATATTATTACGCAGCAGTTTAAAACTTTAGTAAGCTATATACAATAAGGATAGTATGATGGGGCGCATGAGCGTAGCCCGTTAACTATAGTGAAATCAAAATCTATATACTGAACAAGAAAAAAACCCTCGAGAAAAAAAAAAGATAAGCTATTTCGGGTATCCAAATCTAAAATAGTCATTATAAATTCTTTAAAACCTATTACTTATTTCGGCTATGAAAGAGTTAATCAGTGACGATCACTTCCTAAGTTTCTAATAATCGACAGAATTTTTGAAGGCAAAGAGATAGTACGCGATGTTTATTGTTCATGTTACCACTTTAAATGTCCGAGAGATATTTAGTGTTCCCGAGATCACAGCCTTCTGCATATTTTGAAGAACTCCTTTACTCTTGTTTCCGACGAACTCCTTCATTTCGGCTTCTAAGTCACGACACCATCCCCCTAGTGCGTCCATTATGATATTATATTGTTTCACTTCATATCCTTGGTACTTTCGCTTGAATTCCCAACGAAGCGGTCCGTATTTCGAGGTTTTTTCCTCATTCTTTTTCCCCTTATTTGTAATCCATGGGCAGCTCATCTCCAGCGTGATGACCCGTCTTGATTCATGGTCGATAATACGCGCATCTATTTTGTTTGCTCTAACTTTTTGGTTCTCCGCAAATAAAGGAACGTCCCAGAACGCTTTCGCATTGTTCGCCTCGTACACTGGCTTCGGTTTCAATGGTGAGTACCAAGGGGGGACTGTGTTTACAAGGCCTAGGTCGTGTAGAATTTCAAAGAAAAGTAATTTCAAGTCTGCGTTATGTCGGGTAAGATACTTATTCTGTGCGAGGGCGGTACAACCAGCCAAGACATGGGGAAACTTTCAGGGGCCTCACCACATAGCCTGCACCTCACCTCACCCGTTGTGTCTGTGTGCGTTTTCTGGCAGGCGCACAACCTCGTCGGTAATAAATGCTCGTAGAGTTCAAACATCCCCACCGCTGTATGTGTTGGGCACTGTTTCCAACTGCTTAGCCACCAATAACATCCGTTGAAGTTAAGACTCTCGTCTTCTGTTCTGGCAGACAGTAATTTCCCTTGCCAATTCTGCTCATGCACCGTTTCCTATGTCTTCTCTTCCAAACCCCTTCTCAGCTCTTAACCTTCAATTTCTCTGCTGTTAACGTTATCACCTCTCCACTATCACGTTTTATGCAAGCTGGACTTGGGTATTGCAGCTGGAGACCCATCTCATCTGCATACTTTGCTGCCTCTTTAGCTAACGAAGTGTGTCCTAACTCTTCCCCTCTCTCTTCAAACTCACGAACCATCGCCATGGCTAGGTCGCTATTGCTGTATAACTTCACTGCCGCCTTTATCTTCGTTACTTTGTACTCTTCCTCGATCGAACGCAGGGCTCTCCCTCACTTCTCTCTCGGCAGGTATAAAATGGCAGTTGGCCCGATGGGATGTTTTCCACCGCTCTCAACAATTATCTTGCGAGCCTCGCTATCCGACTTTTTAAGCTCTGTCACCGGCCATTGTTGTGTCCACATCAGGTAGCCCAACGCTGGTAATGCAAATTGCTTCGAGGCTGTTACACGATTATAATCAGACAAGGGACTTGACCAGATGAAAGACGCTCTGAGAAGATACTCCTTGGCTGCACCTTCCAACGACATCCTCTCCTCTTGCCTCACCGTCTCCAAAATACCCAAGAACTTGTACTGGTTGCCCTCTTCAAGGTTGGAAATACAGATATTCTCGTCTACCCTTAGCCCCGTGGCATCATGGGTAGGGGTATATACCCTCCTCCGTGCACGAACGACCGCACACTTTTTGGGATTCCATTAGAGTCCGACATCCTCCATTGCAGTCTTGGTTGATTCCATAACACGGCTTAGTTTACTCTCAGAAGACGCAAAGACCTTTAGATCGTCAATATACAGAAAAAATCTGTTACTTTTACACTAATTGGCTTAGATAGCTTGTAGCCCTCACTGGCACTGATCTTCCACGAAATAGGATTCAAGCAAACCGTGAAGAGTCTGGGACAGAGAGCATCACCCTGGGGTAGACCTTTAAGAAACCTGATTGGCTCAGATCTCTCGCGTCCTAGCTTTGTTGTCACCACCACCCTTGTGTTCCAGCTCTTGCTTAACTTCGCCACCGTCCTTGACAACCAGATAGGGAATCTATGTAAGATCATAATCTCTTCCAACCAACCATGGTCTACCGAGTCGTACGCCTTTTTGACGTCAATCCACGCCATACTCAAATTACACTTTCGCCTCTGACAATCTAATGTCACAACTCTGTCAATCAGTAACTTGTCTATGGTTCCGCTACAGCCTGCGCGTGCACCCCTCTGAGCTCCATCCATTAGACCATGCGTTTCTAGATGTTGATTTGCAGTTCCTAAGAGGCACGAAGTGAACCACTTGTATTTAGACAGGTTATCGGCCCCTGGTTATCACTTGTGAATTCTTCGGGTTTCGGAAGTAGTGTGGTTTTGCCTTCCGAGAACCAGGGTGGATACTCTACACTAGCATTCGCTATAGCCTGAAACGACATGGTCACACCTTCATGAAGCACTTGTGCTTTTTTCCACCAAAAGTTGGTCAATCTATCTGTACCCGGGGCGCTCCAGTTCTTTTTCCTTACTAGTACCCTTGTAGTTTCCATGGTGTTTAGCTTCCAGGCCTTCTCTGACGAGGGAGGAACTCGAGCCATTGAGCGTTTCCATTCCCAGTCCCTTGACTTTTCCAGAGCTGTATCCAAAAGCTACTCGCCTCCTCGATATTCTAAAACCTCTTTCTGGTAATTTACACGTCTTGCTTCTGCGTGCTTCTGTCTCCTGTAAAATGCTCTCTTAAGGTGGCTCAATAGGGTTATGCAAGATCACGAAGCGCGGGCCAGTGACATCAATCGAAAGTTAAT